ACAATGTGCCCGAAAAGATATTATGTGCCATATACAGTCTTTATATATATATATATACATAACTTGAGCAGTTTATTTAAAAATAAATCTCTCAACTTAAACAAAATATTAACTAAAATAAAAAGCAACACACAATGTTAAAATAGGTACACAATTAAAAACTTTTTAATTAAGGTCAATCTGAAACCACTAAAAAGTTGACTCAACATGTTTTGATGTGATCTTCAAGAGTGAGTTGAAGACATAATCGTGACTTATTTATACTTTTTTTGTGACCTACGTACAGATTTACAATTCTCGCATGAACGTTTTATAGAAGATCACCCCACATTTTTGTTTAGATATTCACTGGATCTTCATCTCTATTTAATAATACATGAGCTTTTTTATATTTAATTATTTTCAAGTATTCACGAATATTATTGTCTATTCCTTTTGTTTGAGCCAATATTATAGTTTTTTCCCACAATACTGTATCTTGTATTTCATGTACATGTTTTGCTGTGGCTGAGTTTTAAATGTTTTTTTTCACATATCCTTTATGCTTCATTAAATGATGTTTTAAATTACATTTAGTCTGTCTAGTATTAAATACTCCCACATTCAATTTTATAGAAATTCCTCTTTTTTTCCCATTAACTGTATGTTATCTTTAGTATTACCTAAAATTTGCTTTTTCTTTTTAATTGGTTTAAATATAGGATAAAATATTTGTTGTTTTCTAAACACTTTAAGTAAATTATTAGTTAGACCTGGAATATATGGCAAAATTATTCCTTTTTAATGTTTTCATAACTGGGTTTTAAAGTAATATTTTGATCAATCGTTACAACAGTAGTGAATTTCTTGACAGCTCTATCCACAATATTTGGGTTAAATCCTCTTTCAACTGCTATAAATTTCATTAGTAATAATTCATTTTTTTAAGTCCTCTTGTTTAGTAAATATCTTCAAAATTCTGTGAACATAAGTGTAAAATGCAGAAATTTTTGTGATCTAGTATGACATGATTCATCATGGTATGAAGGCATAAGAACAGAAAAGGGTTTCTGATGAATAGATGTTTCTAGATTACCTTGTAAATTCCTTTTTACTAATACATCTAGGAAAGGCAAGCTGTTATTTTTCTCAATTTCATAAGTAAATTGTATAGATGGTTCTGTGCTATTCAAATAGCACACAAACTCAATTAATGCCGTGTTACCATATCTCCACACCAAGAATGTGTGATCTGTATATCTTATCCAAATATTAGGCTTACAGTTTGCACCTTAATATTAACTTCCATTTATTTCATGGTGGAACAGAAACAGTTGACTAAATAAACATTTACTCTTTGGTAAATACTCAGTAATCAGTTGGAAATGGCCAACGCAAAATTTTACAACAAATACATACATGCATGCAGATAATTTTCAGGTGCTACTTTTTTATTTATGTTTTTTACAATGAATTAATATTTTGACAGGTAAAGATGAATCGAATGCGGCAAAGAATTGCTCAACGATTAAAGGACATCCTTCATATTTTATTTTTATTTTTCAAAGGATAATTTATTTTTTCTGTCAAACATTCTCTGTTAACAAGACACTAGAAGACACTTAAATATTTAAAAAAGCTTAGCATGACATCTGTTACATCTTCATTTTGTACTTACGTCATATCTATTTCATTAAAAGTTGTCAGCATAGCATATGTACTCTGGGCGATATATATAATATTCTCTTTATTTGGTT